CCCCCCCTCGCTTGCTCACAGGCACTCGTGGTTCAAGCACAAGATTTTGTCGTACTCGGTGACGCTGCACGTGCCTAGCCTGCTTGCCACCGAAAAGGCCAAATGCGGCCGCGCGGTCAACGCGCTCAGAGCATGCGTGCGTTCGAGGGATGACGCGCACTCCAGGGGGGCGGAAGCGGTGCTTGAGAGGAAGGAGGCCACATCTACCGTTAAGGTGTGTGTGTTTGCCGCTGTGCACCAATAGCTTGTGGTCTTGGCCTATCAGGTTCCACGTAAGGAAGTGGGATGGGTCGGGCGTTGTGTTTCGCTGGTGCTGCTTCAACTCAGGCAAAAACCGTGTTTTGGGGTGGGTGGTTTGTTGTGAGCGAGCCGAGCGTGTGAGCCACGATAGCTTCCACAGAGCCATAGGGCCTCGACCCCACCACTATGTCCTACGGTTTTACGCACCGCTGTCGAGCATCCGCGGTCCGTGTATGATTCCGTGCGCGGGTAACCTTCCCCCCGTTGCCTTGTCGTTTTCGAGCGAAACCAGCCAAAAAACATTTGCCACCTCCGTGCTGACCAGCAAGACCGGAGAGAAACCGAAGCTCTCGTCCTTATTCATTTTTTTTTTCTGTACCCATCTCGCGGTCCGATCCCCGCTCTTATTCCTTCTTGAACCGGATCGTGTAACGTTTTGTTGTTCTTGTGTGGTGGCGACGTATGCTAGCGCCTAGAGGAAGAGCTTCGAGAGATTCAGGTCAAGCTTGACGGGGCGACCAGACTAGCGGAGCAGCTCGGGAGAGAGGTCGAGGATTGCCAACAAAGGTAGGTGACTCGACCGGCGGGATACACAGCTACGTCTCATCGCGCTGCGTGCCCTCACTGCTGCTACCTTGCGAAAGGTTGTGCCTGTGTTGCGGCTCACGGGGATCGAGCGGGCCAAGAGCCTGTTACTTCGTTTTTTGTTTTTGTTTTTTGACGATCCTTCGGATTCCGCACGTCGGTTGGGCCATTCGTTCACTACTCCGTGTTCAATACCCTCCACCGACAAGAACAGTAGTCTGTTCTTGGGAGAGTTTGAGTACAACAGGCAGTTTGTTCAATAGCAAACATGGTCCACGTTCGTAGAAGGTGCTCCCGATCGCAAGCCCGGCTTGTATGCATATGACAACCCAGTGGTTTTTTCCTGATTGCTCCCAAGAAGAATGATAACGACAGCGGCCTCAATGGTGCATATTTTTGTTTTGCAGCGATTTGATCGCTTAGTCTTGTCTGTGCCTGGCGTTGCAGTGACAGCACCCCTGCTAACGTTTTTGTAACGATAGGTGCTGCTGCTGTTGTGTATGCTTTAGCCGTCGGTGAGCGATGTCCTATTTCCTGACGACTCTCTCCCTCCCTCTCCCGCCCTCCCGCTTCTCTCTCTCTCTACCTT